GTGTTACCAGCTGTTCTCCTTAGGATTGAAGCAACACATACTGGGGCAGTCCGAGTTACGCAATCTGCAATGCTTACCCTAACTGCGGTGATTTTGGTGGTCAGCATTTCTTCAAACCTGGTTAGCAGTTGCTCATACAGTTGAGATAATAAAAGCACGCCTTTACTTGGGATAGAAGTACCTTCCACGCAGGACCAGAGAGAAGTTGTTTGGTTTATTAATTTAGTCTGGCTGGCTTTCACTTGTATGCATTTCGCACCTAAAAACTTACAACAGTTAGAACACGGAATACGCACTTTGAGCAGTTTAACGCGTGATCAGCTTCTATCTTTAGCCTAAGGCACGCTAGACCTCGCACTCACTGAGTGAATGTTATTGAGGCTGAGACTGTTTTTAAGAGCAAGTAGAGAGGTTTCTTTACAACTATCGAAATATGAAAAATCAAAATCATCTAATTGTGAATCATCAGCGGTAGTGTTTGGTCAGTTAATCGTTTGTCCTTGTTCGGTAATAAATTCGTATTGGTGTCATTATTTCCGGGTATAGGGTGTTTTTTCCATTATTTGTGCACCGTTGCTCAAAAGCACAGGATTCCGAAATAATCGCCGATACGTGTTTTAAAACATGTCACAGAATCGGCCTCTATTAGTTCTTCTGCTAGTGTATTCCATAAGTTTACGATCCTTCGTTTTATACAAAGCTGATGTGATACCTTGTTCATGCAGATGACCCAGAGTTTGTAACGATGTCCTCCGGTGTTACACGTGTTACAAAGCATTAGAATGATTCGCCCGTGATAGCAGTGGTTCTCTTGTTTCTGACCTTCAGGTCACAGCATTCAATACACACTTGTGTGAGTGCAAATTGTCGAGTACATCAGCCCACCCGTAATGCAGATCACACGAGGGTTTGATAGGGGAGTTACGTCACAAGGCCTATGAATCAGCCTAACCTGAAGTTGTCGAGAGACAGAAATGGGTTTGCTGCGGAGAAAAGTATTGCCCTGTAGCTGCTCCACACACCTTTTTAACTTGATAAAGTAAGAGGTTTTTCGAAGGCCGTTAAATGGTCACCGAATGCGATCAAATCAGTGTCTCAATGGCTGGAAGTACGTAACTGTTGCGCTTGGATTAAGTTGAAACACTACCCGGAATTTACAATTTAGGGTACATGTAGAAGGAACTGGTAGTGTTCTCGGGAAAACGGCATATCTTTAACAAAATTATCCACGATCCGTTGGGGAATGCTGGGTGATGAATTTATTCCAAACGGTAGGCGTGTGTAGTGGAATAGTCCCAGGTGGATAGCTATTGTTGTCAGTTCCTTTGACACATCATCAAGTTCGACTTGAGAATATGCGTGACTGAGATCCAGCTTGGAAAACTTTTGGCCGCCGGCTACAGTCGCGTACAAGTCTTCAATACGTGGTAGGGGATAATTTTCCATTTAAATGCTTGGTTGACTGTCAATTTGTGGTTTTCGCAAATACAGACGGAGCCGTCAGGTTGGAGTACAGGTACAATCGGAGTGCCCCAACCTAAATGTTGCACCAGAACTATGACTCCTTCTGATTGCAGACGCTGTATCTCTGCCACAATTTTAGGGCGCAGTGCATAAGGTAATGATCTAGCTTTGCAAAATTTTGGCTCGGCACCCTCTCGGAGTTTGATAGAAGCCTAGTAACACCCCACTTTCCCCAATTTGTTTTCAAACAATGATGAGAATTGGTTCAATAATCCATTCAAACTGCCGTCTTCAACAGTGAGTTAGTTGAGTATCATGGTCTCGTTAAATAACTGTATCCAGTCTCGACCCATGAGATGCGGTTTATTCCCAGGTACAACGATTAACGATAGGGTAAATTCTTGCACTCCGTGCCTGGCTTTAACGAAACATCTGCCCAACACCTGAATTGGATCACCTGTGCATGTCTGTAATCTCGAGTTGCACAGTTGCAAAAGTGGTAGCTTTTTCATTGAACCGCGGTTTACGACGGTGACCGCCGCCCCAGTATCTAGCTACATGTCTATCGGTTCAGACTTTATCCTCAAACGTATTGTGTAAGGAGGACAGTTTTTGAGTGTCAAACTGTTTAAGTACACGGAGTTAAGTTCACAATTCCAATTTTCTAGGACCTTACCTTCACGTAGCTCTATCTTACTATGACGATTCGATGAGGCGATATTCGTGTGGAGAGAACTTTCCGCTCTACCGACGCGTGCCAGATGGCCTATGTTGTCGCATTTCAGACAGATACTTACCTTGTGCCTGCAATCAGAAGCGTGAGAGTGTCGCAAACCGCAACGATAACACAAATTGTTTTCGATTTTTACTGGTGTCTGGTTTACAGACCACTTGCACATCATCAAATACCGGACGACCATTGAACCCGCGTAATTAGTGTATAATATTCACTCGTTGGCGAACAATGAGACAAACGTTTTCCAACGTGGCCGCCGACTCATCCAAGGATAACAACTTCTCTCCAGCACTTTCGTCCGATATTCCCGCAATTAAACATTGAATTTTCATTTGCTCTTCGATTTCCAAAGTGGAATATCATTATACTTACAATCAGGAACAGATTGATCAATTTATGCAATAAAATCATTTATACTTCGTTCGGCTTCTGGACAAGTTTTGAAAAATAGTATCTAGTGGTGTAAACATTTTGTTTCCACCCCCATAACGTGGTATAAGTATCCAAAGCAGAACTGAGAGTGGCATAGTTTTCCAGTTGTAGGGCATCGTAGTGCCGTTGACCTTCATAGCCAAGCACTTGCCTGCATAGTGTGATTTTGTGAGCCTCAGAAAGGCAAACGGTCTGATTCAGTACAAGAAGCAGTTCCATGTAGTTAGTAAAGGATTTCAACCATCTTATTCAGTTCGATAAGGCCGGTTTTTCCTCAGCAGATGACCAAAGGATAGGAGGTGTATTCAACATTGGGTTCGTCATTTTCGTTGCCACTAAAACGTAGTACCACTAAGTGCGTAACGCACGCTTCCGAGACACGTAATTCCAACAAAGTGAAGACGCCTGAACAGCAGGAGGTTTATCAATCAATTGAGGAAGTTGCAAGACTTGCGGAAACTCGCGTTGCGAGACTGGGGGCGGGTGTCAGATGTTTGGCTGGCTGGTGTGAGTGGTAACCAATCCGCGCGCAGCTAAAGTAAACGGATCGAAGTCATTCACGTATGTGACAACGAGGTAAAGGTTGTAAAATCAAGGCGACAAAATGCGGTTGAGCGACAGCGAGAAGCCAAGAGTGCATGGACGTGCGACTAGCGCGCCTGTGTCAGTGTCGATTAAAGCAGGGGGTGTTGATGACCACAAAGCAAAGTGCCATCACATCCGCCAGCTCGCGTCTTCCCATAGCGTTGCCTAAGAATCTAACCTCAACTTTCCTTTGCGTCTGGGTGGAAGGACGGTAGAGGAATTTAAGAAGGAATGTATGCATTTGCAACCGCGCTAATTTGTGCTTAGTTCCGCACTCAGTGGCATGCGTTACGTGCGTCGTGCTTACCACTTGTATATCATGGTTCTTTAGGCACATGTGGCTCCAGGACGTAGAAGACGAGGTGATTTAGCAGGACCCCGACAATTGTTTTTCGGTGCAGCTTGAGATGTTTGTGCTGCGATTAGTACTGATACACTACAGTGAACAATGATTTAGCATGGGAACACACTGAGTGCTTGACAAGTCCCGCAGGGTGGTTGGAGTGAGAAAAAATGGATCAAAGAATAAGTGAATCGACAGTTTAAGCAACTATTACGGTAGTCTGAACTGAGAATTGTGTGCGCACACACAAGCAATATGGGGAGCGGTTAAAGTTCACGCAATACGTAATAAAAATGTTACTAAGGGAAATGACAACGCTTACTCGTGTTGTGGCGGACTAAAGGCAGACATTAGGGCGCCAGTTATCATTAGTATGAAAGTACCAGGATGGGAAACAGCAACCAGCCAAACTCTAAGGAAAGAAACATTTTGGAACCGCAGTTGTATGCACACGAAGAACGGTGGCATAAGCAATACACACCACGCAACCCCTAGACACAGAAATAAACCCGCGCCAATCAACCTCCTACAGGGACGGCAGATATGAGTGGATGTCTCGTTTGTCGGAACGGGAAATATAAATCCAGTTTCCGCAGCGTATAACGAATTATGTGCTGAAAGTGCAAATGCACACTTTGATTTGTGGCGCTAGGTTGACACACGGATATAGAGGATTAGATGGCATAATGTAACGTTATATTCTCTTCCTTTGCCTGCGACAGTTGCCACAACATATGATTGTGTCAAACTCTACCCAAACTGTGGGATGATCTTTTTATCACACTGCCAAACTCGAACTATCTTTTCGTCGAACTACTTGACATCAAGTCAGTTTACATAACGCAATGTACTACCATAAGAACGCATGATTTTGAGAGCATGGACATTTGGTCATAACATCTTAATGTTATGGAAGGAAAGCGTCAGTTTGTCTGCTTATATAACTTTGTACATAAAAATGGATGATACTTGAGTAAAGTGGACCAGGGAATGTTACGTTTTGGCACTTCCACTATCTGGAGCAGTTGGTACCCACTAAGTGCTTTCACTCTGCTCTCTATTTTGTACGAGCAATGTTATTGCTGGGCTATCCTTACGGCTGTGTGAAATGTATGAAATTGAGTGACTGCCTTATGTGACAGCCGCATTACGCATTACATTGGGAACTTAGCAGTAATCTTCCGGTTCCCTTAGTTGTACTCATGATGTTACTATTACTAGCCAACTGGTTGGTAGGTCCCATAGTGTGTAGTACTCAGTAACATATTGAGATCTTTGGACTGCACTGACAACCGTCATGGTATTGGGGAATCGTGACGTAAACATAAACGACGCGATAGGTGATTTTGTATATACTCCACTTTAACGCATGCTTTTGAGGCTATGAGCATGTGTTGGCTTCTAGTCTTTTAGTTTTATGCTGCTTTTTCTCCACTCCAGCTGTCCACTTCGTGTGTACAATGTTACGGTTGGTCAGCGCATAATTGTGATATGCGCGCAGCGAGACAATCGCATGTTTCAGAGGATATATTATGTAAGTGTCCACCTGGTATTCGGTCTACAGTTTTCTATTTCGTCAGGTTTGCAATCACAGTCATTTGGAGCTGTCCGAAGTCTGTCAGATTTTGAGAAATTGAGAAATTTTGTTATTTAAACGTAGATTTAGATGTAGACGTTAGCGTTTGATTACAGACCGGTCGACAGGGGCACTGCATGAAAAGAAACACTGGTTATAACAAATGAAGCTAACTTAATGCACCTAGCTTATGTGCTTTTATAGATCACCGAAGGACATTTTAACCTAATTTTCCTATACGTGTCGTTTTAGTGTTCTTTCTTTACCAGTCCCAATTGCTATTGCCGTTACTGAACTGACAAGCGATTTTGAGATTTACGAGAATTGGTCCCACGCAAACAAAAACAGGGTGCATGTGAAGAATGCATTGTCATGTTGTTTATTCTGCGCACTTCGGTGGCGCACATTTTCTGGCTATGTAGTAAATCAAAATTATTGCTACACATGTGAGGAACATAGTATGCTTCGCACTAAACGCAGTAGCCTAGCTTATCGAAAGTAGTAACCTGGAGTAGTAGGATAGCACGGGAAATCGTAAAACCAACTTACATTCTATGGCTGAAGTCCTCGATCTTGATTGCCCCAGGACGGAAGACTAAATGCTGCTTGTGACTCATGAATGTACCAAGCGCTTATTCAACGCATTTAGGACTGTTTGATGACTTTCTGCTAGTCAAGGCATGAGGAGTCACTAGGGTGGAAATTGCTATGTCGACAAACAGCTTGTGCCAGAAGAGCAAATTACGCACCATATTGCTTCCAAAAGGATAGTAAGATGGCGAGTACATGTGAATAATCATGGGGATAAGTAATGTACATAAGCGCTGATAGTTAAAAACTACCGACAACAATGAACTTTTGTTATTAGTGACTGTGCAGCTCGATGATGTTTCTCACAGTCATACAAATATGGCAGACATGCAGAACAGCACGCACAGTCACAAACCTCTGTTTTCTTTCATTCATTATACCGAGGCAAAGATAATAAATAAAAATGATATATTACAATAACCGGATAAGATTTCTGATGCAAAGATTATTAAGATGCCAAATGAAATGACGCACGAATTGAACTCACCGTACAAACCTACCCTTGTACGCGCATCATAAAGGTAAAAGCAAAGAATATACTGACTGATGAGCGCGAACATTCTGATAGAAAAGTTAGACACTGTCTTTCCGTTATCAATCTCTTTAGCTTAGAGTACACCATTTAGCAATGCTATCAGTTAAAAAATTCTCCCTTGTCTATAATTCATGCTTCCCAAAGCCTAGGGGTAACGTGCATGTCTTTTAATCTGCGTAGGAGCAGCGCAACCCTCACAGTAGTCCACGTGCGACCGGTGGTGGTTGCGCTGCAGCGAAGCGTCGGCACTGCGTACCCGCGTACTGTTAATGCCTTTCTTTCTTTCTTCATGGTTTCCAAAACAAACCTTCTGCCGCAGTTACAGCTACATTACCGTACATCTTTCTACTGCTCATTCCCGGTTGCAGTCCAAACGATGGGAGTTCGGATACACTTGCAATACCTTTGATCCGGATGTACGAATTGTTGCCAGTTGTCATAATGTTGTACGGGACCAAGAAATTGCCTTGACAATATGCAGGGAAGGCATGAAATGCGAAATTCCGCTAAACAAAGGAGATGTTATATTCATGTTTTGTAAGTTCCACCGATTTGGTTTGCATCTAAAAGATGGTCAATGCACAAACGTTCTCACCATATATCTTGTCTGATAACTTATACGACCGTTTGAGGAGTCGGAATCAGTAGTTTCCCTCAGTCATTCGAACACCCTATTAAAATACGTATAACTGCGAGATGGTTTGCTTTAAAGCGAGTTTCAGCCAATCATTGGTAAAACGCAAGATGCTGAATAAATTCAGCGAGATATGCGTTGTTACCGTAGCGTACCGTCAGTTAGATAACAAGAGAATCAAGCTAGGGAAGAAAACGGAAATTACCAGACGTCTGCAATAGATCGGAATAGCTGTAGCTCAGGTTAGCTGATGAGGTTTTGGTTGTATCTCAGAGCTCGTTAGTTCTGTTGTGGATGCAAAAATAATAATATGCCAGATTACATTATGGAAAAATGCGTGTCGTTTTATCTATCTGGTTGTTCGGGAAATAATTTCATTTGTTTACAACATAAGATCTGAATTATTTTTTCACAGCCATTTTCACACTTAAGCTGCGTTTTTTTATAATTTGACAGCTGATATAACAAGGCTTGCTCGTGCAAAAGTTTGATTTACTTTTTGCAGTAATTTTTGGTTGTTGTCCTTTCAAATATGGCAATTAAAGCAACATTTTCGGCGAATTTTATTTTTTACCATCGAAAAGATAAAAATACTGTTCAAAGGAGAAAAATGTTATCGGATGTGCATGGAGAACATGTATTGACAGAACGCCAGTGCCAGAACTGGTTTGCAAAATTTCGATCCCGCATTTAAAGTACTTAGTTGTATTAATTAATTATTTAATTAGTTGCATTAATTGCTCCAAATCAGCGAACAGTAACTCGTGAGATCGCTGTGAGATGAGTTTTTTTACTTCGACCGTTCAGGAACATTTGAAACGTCTAGGTTTCACCTCAAAGCTGGACATGTGGGTTCCGCATGTTCTTACGGAAAGAAATTTGTGCCGTCGCGTTGACGTCTGTGATTTACTTCTCAAACGTCAAAAATGATCCATTTTTGAAGCGCATCATCACTGGGGACGAGAAATGGGTTGTCTACAACAAGGTTGAACGCAAGAGATTATGAAGTAAAAGATGCACCGGTTCAAACCACTTCGGAAGCCGATATTCATCAAAAAACTGATGCTATATGTTTGGTAGGATTTCAAAGGAATCGCTCTCTTTTGTGCTTCTACCGGACAAAAGCGGTCAATGCTGAACTGTACTGTCATCAGCTGAACAAACTGAATGATTCACTTAAACAGAAAAGACCAGAATTAATCAATAGAAAAGGTGTACCATGCCACTAAGATTATGCGAGATCTCATATAAGTTTGGTAACGCCAAAACTTTTACAGTTCGGGCGGAATATACTGCCACACCCAACATATTCTCCAAATCTGGCACCTTATGCTTATTATTTGTTCCCGTCGCTGAAACTTTTTCTAGAAGGTAAAACCTTTACTTCAAATGAAGAGGTCAAAAATCATCTGGATCAATATTTTGCCAGCGAAGAACAAACCTATTATGAGCGTGGACTGAAGATGCTGCCAGCAAGATGGCAAAAGATATTGAACCAGAATGGACAGTATTTAGAGCAATAAAAGATTCATTCACTATAATAAAAAAGTGCTTTGCATTTTCATCGGAAAAACCGATTTACTTTCCCAGCAACCAGATACATCATACATGCGAAAGCTAAGAAGGTACTAATTGATGAGTATGAATATTTTCATAAGAAAAGTAGGCATGTGTGGATGCACTGACGATGTCGCTCCGACAAGGGGCGAAACGTCTTCGACATACTTACCCAGCTCCGGGGAGTCAACCAGAACATCGCCAGACGTCTCACGCAATGTTCGAGGCCAGAATATGGAATGACGTCAAAGGTTCTTGGTTGGATTGACTAAAGCAAACTAGATCAGCGCTACGACAGGTACATTGTTTAATTCGCCTAGGTAACCCGAGAGGCCACACTATCAGTACATTTCGTTCAACGTACCGCAGGCAACGGGGGAAATCTGCAGGTCACTACAGACAAACTCCGCTATATGCATCAACAAGAGAGGAGGTGAGTGTGCGTAAACCACCGTTTGAAACTGCGTCTCTCGGCCTCGCCGGTACGCACCAATGATGATGAAAAATAAATATAAATGTTTCTCTACATGTAAGCTCGAATCACTGCGGTGGAGATGGAGATCACCGGTTCTAGCGATTCTGATAAGCGCAGAAAACCTAGCAGATATTTTGGCGTAGCCACCTTCCTATGTATCTATAAGGGGATGGTAATTTCGTACTCAGTCCAAAAGGAGATAGTTGTTGTACTGAAAAATGAACAATGAATTGACACGGGTTAATAAGTGTTGCTTTATAAGTCCCTTTGGATATTTGGTGGGAAGATCGAAATAACGAGAACGATAATAATGATAGTAGAACAGTTGGTACTTCAAGTATGAAAATAAGGACTTATCGTTTGCTCCGCCGTAGCTCTGCAATGTGATTAGATTCAAAGCAGCCGCAGTTAACATCAAATAATTAAATGGCAAACTCCAGGTGTAGGATGGAGACGTAGCGCTATGTGACAAAGTGTAAGTGGATGAATGTGTCATCCAACTGAATTTTAAATACTTTTACTGTCGGTGGAGAGAAAACCGATTTTGTGAGAGCATTTCACGGATGATAGACACGAATAGAAAAGAAACTTCTGCGGCACTTCAGACGGCTATACTGTTCTGCGTGTTTCTATGAATGGCCCATCAGGGATATATTGGTCCTGATTCTCAGTAAAGGGCGGCACACAAGATGTGGGCCTTGCAGAATCAAGTATGTCATAAGCAGGTTGCCACGTAGTCTACGATAGCTTCCACTGAATACCCCAAATCGTTGCAGCCTCTCCTGGTATGAAAGATTGCGCATTCCAATTACGTTCTTAGATGTCCGACATTGTGGTTGCTCCAGTGCATTAAGGTCGTGTTTCAGCCATAAATGCCAGGCTTGAATTGTGTATTCGACTTGGGGGCGAACATACGCGCTGAGCATTTGTCGAAATATGGAGCTGTTTATTCGTCCAAACGAGCGATCAACAGGTTAGTAGTACAGTATTGATTTGGGCGAAATTTGTGATGCTCTAGAACCAAAAGTTTGTTCATCCCCAGGTACCCCATAAGCGCCTCAGCTACAACTGACTCCATGATCTTGGAGAGCACCGGAAGGACTGTTATAGGACGGTATTTCACTGGCTCTAAGCGACCACCACTTTCACAGATTGGAGTGATGATCCCGTGCTTCCACATCCGGCCGAGGTGCGTCTTGTTAAAACCGCGCTAATAGAGCACTGCTAACGGTTCGGCTAAACTAGTGGCAGAAGTTTTCTATGCCTCCGAAAGAATGCCATACGCACCGGGCAAGCTGTACTCGCACAAGTACATCAGCCGTTTCAGCACAGCTGTGTCCGTAAGGAATATGGTGAGGCCTGGAGGCGGCATTTCTGCGTAAGCAGGATGTAGGGTGATTGCACAATTTGGAAGGTATAGCAGAATCACTCTAAAAGAATCTTGAGTGCTTTTTTGCCGTTGGTGCTAGCCCGCATGTTGTGTGCTGAGCAAGATTTCCGCGCTTAACTAGGAGAAATTTGTTCATGTGTCTGTATATCTGCTTTGGGTTAGAGCCAAATATCATCACCGAGTATCATTGGTTCACTGCTTTATCCTCCCGAACCGAGTTTGATGCGGTGGTTCCTTTGTGTTGTAATGCATCCCAGGTGTCATCGCTCGGAGAGACTGTGGGCGAGCCATGCCCATGTCGTGTCCTGCTGTTTAGGAACCATTTCCTTTTTCGAACGGTTGATTTTGGTTTCTGATGTACTTTCCACAACACTCGAAACTGTTGACAAATTATTCGCAATCCATCTCAGGGGATTATTCGGCTAGGGGAGATCAGCATGTTGAACCAATGAGGACAGATCGGTCATCACAGTTGGTTCCGACATTAAATCCCGATACAACCTTTAAGATACTTTGTGTAGTACCTGTATTGGAACATTAGTGTCACATGATCACCGCGACCCAAAGAAGTGCATGCTGTTACTACGTAGATCATGAATTCCTGGTTAGCGCAAAGAGGTCCAAGATAACTGGTTTGTTTCCTGTGTGGACGAGCGCCAGGCGGCAGGTCGCGTCCGGTTGGTCGCAAAGCGGATGCCCGCGTTGGGAGTGTGATTCAAAAAACGGGAGTAAAATTGAACATTGAACAATGATATATACCCGGGTAAAAAAGCAGGTGCTTGACATGTCCCGTAGGGTGTTTAACGTGACAAAATGATAGAGAAGGGATAATGGAGTCGTCAGTTCGGACGCTTAAAGATGTGACTGCACTGTCGTAGAAAGGGAGTTTGAAATGAGAATGTGCGCACACAAAGCAATAGGGAAGTGGTTATTGATCACACAATAGGCGAGAAAAATAAAGAAGATAGCAAAGACAACGCTTACTCGTGTGCAACTATCTTGGGTCGACAGGATACAGAAATCCAGTTTCTATAGTAGTAGTGTTTATCAAATTTCGTGCAAGGCGTTTGGAGTGACTCATTCTCGAGTAGGGTTATGGCACTATCCCCTGTCTGTTGTGCATTAGTGCCAGCATCTGGTGGTCATGAGCTATAGCACGTAGTGTAAATGTGACAGGGTATCGTCAAAGCGATTTTTGAGAAGGGACAGGGTGGGTGCATTAATTACATGTTCCGGGAAGGCGTTCCAAGGCTGTGTCACTCGAAGGGAGAAATAGTTTCGCCGACATTCCAGGCGGCTGTACTGCGTGACTAACTTAAACTGGTGACTTCATAGCGAGGTGTTTTGACTGAGTATCAGAAGAGAATGGCATGGGTGATTTGGGTTTCTCAGGACCTGGTACACCATTATGAGATCGCCCATAAGACGCCGATAACCTCCACTGTATATTTTGAGAGTCCTCAGCCTGAGTGGGTAGGGGA